TCCGGCCACACGGCCATCCGACCACGTCCATGGCCATCCGGCCACGGGCGCGCCCATCCAGCCACGGCCACGGCCACGGCCCTCTGGCCACGGACACAGCCACCCGGTCACGGCCACGGCCACGGCCGGCCGCGGCCACGGGCTGCCAGCCACGGCCACAGCCATTCGGCCACGGACCGGCCACCCGGCCACGGACACGGCCACGGCCACGCACCAAAAAAATAATCCATCCTCCTGCTGCACTGTCTCACTTCCGGTCCGCTGTCTGTGGGTGCCCTTCCGGTCTGCTGTCTGTGGGTGCCACCGGTGTCTGTCGATCGGGGTCTTTGCCGGTCCGCGGCTTTCGTTTGTTTTCGCGTGTGGGAGGGCGTTTGTTCCCCTGAGGAGCGACAGTTACCTATATTTGTTAACATTTGGGGTTGTGTCTTCTGGGGCTCTCCGACCTCACCCTGTGAGGTCCGACCTCAACAAACGTGATCATACCAGACCCAAAAACCACGAAACCACAAAACCCAAAACACACAAGACCAACGATCCCAAATTCCCACTCGTGACAGGTTGTCGAAACTGGGCTGCAAAGCATCACAATGGTGCTACCTGCTCAGTCTGTGGTCCGCAGGTCGTGCTCACTGCGTGAAACACACACAGAAAGTTATGGCCCCGGACCCCAAACTTGTTTCCCAGTTTCGGTTGGCGCTACAGTGTGCTTTGTGGAACGACATTCTAGGCTTCACCCACCAAAGTTTGCCGTGTTGTGATTAGGAGACGAAACCACACTGCTTGACCCGCAGCATTTGTACAGTGCACGCAGCTACATATCCGCCTCCAAACATGAAAAGCTTCAAAGGTCAAAAGGCGCTCAGGCCTTTTTGCAGCTTCGGGGTGCCCCACCGTACCATAGCCAAATGCGCTTGCTTCATGAGCCAGTCCGCCGGTTGGGGTGTTTTTGAACGTTTGCTCGTCCGGTTTTTGTCCACAGCTCCTCTTTTCGTCGGCACGCCTATTCGATTCTTCCAATTTCTGAGGTTTCCGGGGTGGTGCATCCTGAGCGCTGGGCGTGTTGGGAGAAGCCACCCGCAACGCAGTTGGCTTGGCTGTGCTGAATCCTGGCAGCGCACGAAAGGGTTTCCAAAGCAAAGGTACGTACCGTAGGTGACTTTATTGATGTTTATTGTTTTATTATGTGTGTGTATCTCTCTGTATATACACGGTAACTGCGTGGTGGAATTTCTTGTTGATGACCTTGAGGCCTCATAAGCCTAGTTCCGTGCAGGACTAGGTTGGGGGGGCCTCCTCAGCCTAGTCGAGTCCCCTCCTTTGCAGGACTAGGTTGGAGACCTTGCTCAGGGAAACGGCAGGCTGTTCTCTTAGCAAGAGCCTCCGCCTTGTATTGTGACTCTGTTCGACATGGCAAGTGGGACTGCTCTGAGGAACATCATCTCCAAGGGAACTTTCACCTTTGCACTTCGGCAGCTTCCAAGACCCCAAAAGAAGCCATTCCAGGGATCAGCGGAACGAGGAGTGGGCAGAATCGATCGGTCCGATTGTGCTTTCCATTGTTCACCCTACTAGTATGTTTCTTGGCCTCTGTGCTAGGTCCCCTGGTTCCATCAAAGTCTCCAGCTGCTTTGCTTTCAACGGGTTCTCACGCTGGAGTCCGACAATGACCTCATTGTATACGGGACTCCCCCACTCTGTGATTCAACAACGTCTTCTAATAACACGATCAATAGAAACGTTTGCATATCCTGAGAGATGTGTGGTCCTGGATCGTCCGGTTTTTTTTCCTGGACAATGCTCGTCGTAGCGCCGGCCGAGGTGGGCATGGCTTCTGAGCTGCCGCCGTCCAAGCGGGCGAGGGTGGCCTTGCCGAGTTCGGCGCCGGGAGTCTACGTCGCTCGGCGGTTCGTTTC